TCCGCGGGGGCCTGCGGTGCATCAAGTACCTGCTGCTCGGCTTCAACCTGCTCTTCTGGGTGAGACCCGGAGCCGAGAGGGCCGGGCAGGGGAGGGGGCCGCGCGGGGGCTGGGGCCGGGGTCCCCGGGGCACTGACCGCTGCGGCGTCCGAGCCGGCCTTCCGAAGACCGGGTGGCCCAAAAGGCGGAGGTGAGGAAAATGCAGACAAAGGGAGGGAGGCGTGGGGAGAGAGAACGGGAGGGATTGAGCAACGAGAAACGGTAACAAGGGGGAGACACCGAGCGGCTCTTCCCTTTGGGGAACCTCGCAGCCTGGGTTCTCCTGGCGCAGCCCGCGGCGCCAGGTGCAGGGCCACCCGCCACTGCTCAGCCCTGCGGCCGGCGCCCTCCAGTCCGCTGTGCGCACGCCCCCTACCCCCTCTGCCTCTCGGCCTGAGCCGGGCCTGGCCGCCCCCGGCCGCCAGTGGTGGGGCCCCAACCCGCCTGCGGAGGAGCCACGGCTGTGACAGTTTTCGCTTAGGAAATTGGGAGTAGGCGTGGAAATGTTATTTGGGGGTCGATCGATCGCTCTTCCTGGGTAGTGATGGATGAGATGTGGAGGTGCTCTTCTGAGGAGGGGGAGGGGTGGGGCTTCCAAGGGATGGCAGCAGCACCCCGTAGCCTCTTGCTAAATGCTAACGCTCCCAGAGATGATCTCATTCAACTTTGCAGGGTTTCTCTGAACTGACAGCCTGACAGCCAGATGCGTGGCTCCGTGGCTCCGTGGCTCCGTGGCTCTGGGAGAGGGTGGGCCATCACCCCTGGCGGACAAGGTTAGGGCTAGACCATCCTGAGAGCTCCCCAGACCCTGTCTCCAGCCCTACAGGGGTTGTCTTTTCTGCACATTCCCCCTTGGGCTTTATCAAGAGAATGTCAGCTAGGGTAACTGCTCAGCTAGACCTCGGGGGATACAGATCTGGCTTTGGGGAAGAGCTTCCTTCCTAGAACTGGGAGCAAGCATCTGCCACTTGGGTTCCTTGAAACAACTAGGGTGGATGGAGGAGGTGGTGGTTTCCTTTTGCTGCACTGGGGAGTTTGTCTTCCCATGACTGCAACTAATTAGTTATTGAATGATGGTCCGCTGGTGTCTGCCAGCCCATTAGCCCAGATGCCTGGGTGAGCGCAGCAACTTCAGGCTGTCAGAGGCCAAGTGACCATATCCAGCGTCTTTCACAGACGTGGAGGAGGTACTCGAGGACAACTCCTGAACCTAAAATACACGTGGTGTTTGTACACCTGGGTGTTTACACCCATCATACTACAAGGAGGCAGTTTCTCAAGGCCATTTGTGCTGTGCTTTTTAGTAGTTTGGCTTGATTTCCAAAGCGGTCATTTCTAGAGGTCATGCTTCAGTGGCATCCTTCATTCTTGCTGCTCGCAAATTCCAAAGAAGTTTTATATGAGCCTGAGAAGGACCTCTTAGGCCAAGCTCAGTGTTTATTTAGTGCTCGAGGTTCCGGCCTTCCCGAGAGAACGGGACGCATTGATTGAGTGTCTTTGGGGTTCAGAAAGCGCCCCGAGCACATCCCAGCCATTGCACGCTGAATCCCACTGCAGTCCTGCTGCGTACACTATCATTACCCCCACTGCGACAGACAAGGAAACAGTCAAACAAGCCAACGTGCCCAAAGTCACACAGCTCGTACGCGCCTGGGGTGGGACTCAGTGTCCCCGGGCACCCTGGGCTCACCCAGTAAACAGTGCCTCTGGGAGTGTGGCCACCAGACCAACAACAGGAGAGTCCTGGGAACTTGGCAGAAAGGCACAGCCGTCAGCCCCTCGCAGCCTCGCTGACTCAGAAGCTCCCGGGAGGGTCCGGGGGCCTCCAGGTCATCCTGATGTAAAGTGTGAGGTCTGCTGCCATACACGATGTTTAGACAAGCATTACAAAGTTAGCTTTCCACCTAGAAATGTCTATTTCTGACATAAATATGTGGAACATAAATGTATATGTGCATTAAAGTGATTATATATGTTGTTTAGAAATAGAAAATACTTGTCCCTAAGCTGCTGATGTTCTGGGGGAATTAAGGCCAGTGCAGATGATAGCTGACAGTCAGACGTCCAGCTTTGCGCAGAGGCAGGAAGCAGGAGGGAGCCAGGCCTGGGTCCTGCTCCGTGTGGGCCCTGGTGCCAGGTGCGAAGGTTTATATGTGGGAGTGACTAGTTCAGACAAAGGACCAGGGCGGTGAGAGGAGGCAAGACAGGGCTCCCAAGGAAGGGGGTGCTTAAACTGCTTCCCCTCTGTGCCTCGAGGAGGCAGACCCAGTGCCGGGTGGCCCCATCTGACCAAGGCAGCGGGTTCGAGAGAGTCACTCTCCCACCTCAGCCTCTGTCTTCTCATCTCTACAACGGGAGGGAGCAGTCGGGTCACTGAGGCATTAAAAAGAGCCTGGCACATAGTGATAGCCCCAGCGTGTGAATTATGAGTTCTGTTAAGTGTCAAAGGGGACAAAAGAAACATTCGATAAACCCTCACCTTTCCCAGGGTCCCTTACCAGGGTCGTCACCGTTCTCCGAGAGTGTGGCCCCTCTCGTTGCCCACTGACTTGTTCTTTGCCGCCCAGGTTGAGCCCAGGTTGAATGTGGGGCCTTCCTCCCTGCAGCTCCTGGGGGTGGGGCCAGAGCCCCGCAGCCGTTCAGCCCTCCAGCAGCCTCTGCGCGCCTCGCTGGGGGGACGGGGCACCCCGAAACAGACCCCTAATGACGTAGGGGAAAGCCATGGTTTGGGATCAGAGCTAGAGACTGCCCGACAGGGTGGCTGACGGAACATGCTTCCAGAAAAGCCCCAGCCTCGTTCCTGAAGTAGTGTTTTCCTGGTTGGAGGGTGGTGGGAAGTTTGGGGAGGGCCAAGAGTAGGCAGTGGAGCAGGAGGGCAGTTGTCCTGGAAGGACAGGCGGGAGCACCGGGCCTCCAGTGTGATAGTCACACACCCTAGAGGCCTCCCTTTGAGGGACAGGGTCCCCCTTGGTGACGGCACTTCCTTTCTGTCAGAACTCACCCCGGCAGCCAGGCAGGGAGGTGGGGGTGGCAGTGTTTTGTGATCTACAATTTGACAAATCTATTTGCAACCTCCTGGCAACTTGATTTAAGTTTCCCTAAGCTGTGCTCCTGATTTTATAAACATCCAGCTAGGTCCCGCCAAAGCCAGCACAGCGCTTCCTGGCCCTGGGCCGACAGCTCCATTCACCATTGAATTTTTAAACACAAAAGTAAAGCTCAGCCATGAACCCCACTAAATTAATTTCTGTGATCAGGGTGGATGGCTAACGTCCCCCCTCCCCCACCCCACCCCCACGCCTGTCACGTCTAAATTCAGAGGCTCCCATCAGATAGCTCGAGGTATTCCCATGCCTTTCACTGAAATCACCTTTATTTTCTTCCTCTGTTGCGTAGCAATATAAATAACACAGCACAGGCCGCCGAGTGCCTGTGTGGGAGACCTGGGCGCGTGTTTATTCCTTGCTTGATTGTTGTAGCTTTCCTAGCATTGTGCTGGGGCGGCCCGCGTGTCCCCCGCCGGCAGGAAGCGGGTCTGTGGGAGCCGCGTGTGAGCTCGGGGCTGCTTGTCCCATCTCACCATTGCGAGTGCTGCTCTGGGCTTTCGCCTGGCAGGTGCATGTAGGAGAGACGGGGTCCCACGGCTCCGGCATGAGAGGTGTTTGACTCTCCTCAGCTGGACAGAGGTGGTCTCTGGCTCTTTCCCAGGCTTATTTCAAACAGGAACTGCAGAGCTACCACCTGCCAGAGAGATAAGTTTTTTTTTTAAAGTAGGTCAAGACAGTATGTTTTCAGATCCACCGGAAACTAGACCACCCCAGAAAGTAGATGGGAATTTCCTTGACCGTCTAGGAGAGGAAGTCTTTGTTTCTGATGTCTGTCAGGGCGCGCAGAGAGCAGCAGTGGCCAGCCTCCCGGTCTGGACAGGGGAGCCCAGTGCTGGGGGGGCAGGGGGCGGGCCCGCGGGCTGCAGGCCCCGGGAACTGGACGCCATGGCGCTAGAAACCCCGAGTGAGGAAACCGGGAGTTTGGTGTTAGCTTCACAGCGCGTGGCTTTGCTCCAGGCTGTGAGGGAGCTGGGTTAGTGAGTTTTTAACCTCTTTGAGCCTCAGTTTTCCTCATCTGCTAAATGGACACCATCAGCTACCAACATCAGTCTCTGCTCTTTGTGCAGACCAAATGAGCGTGTAAGACAGCATGTGAATAGTGAGCTGGCCAGTGTGATAGACGCGCAGGGTAAACAGTGGTGTATGGCACCGGGGAAGTCATGCCTAAATTCTGGGAGTGCAGGTAGGAAAGCAGAACCCAGCGGTCGAGAGGGCCCAGAGGCAGGGACAGTAGGAAGCCCGTGTCCCCCTCCAGCCAGCGGAGCGGAGCAGGAGTCTCGCGGCTGGTCAAGGACGTGCAGTCAGAGGAAAGCCTGGTCCTCGCAGTAGCCGTCTGCCCTCTCAGGTGCCCAGCGCCCTGCCAAGTGCTAACATCCAAAGAGTGAAAAGCAGTCTCAGGCTCAGGCACTGTGCCCTCGGCCGGGGGCTCGTGCCTCCCTGTCTGTGCTCCCGGAAGGGCTGTGCCCTCCCTGGCCACCCTCAGCCCACCGGCGCGCGTGGCTCTGTGCGCAGGGTCACGTGTGCTGCCGTCACCCAGAGCCTTTGTCCCCTGCCCTGCCAGGTCACCGAGGGGGGCCCGGCGGGGCAGCCACGGGGAGCTGGGGATCGCGCCCTGAGGCTTCAGTGTGCCTGGCTCAGAGCAGCTTCTGAGTCAGAGGGTCAGCGTGATGCCGAGGTGACCGGTGCGGGGACACACTGACCTCTGACCTGGGAGGTCAGAGGTCTGCAGGCGGGGAGCGCCCATCCTTGACCCGCTCACCTGACTTTCCGTGGCCGTTCTCTTAATGCCAGCTACCACTGTACCAATATTATCTGAACGGCTTTGCCTTTGTACATTACGATTTGATGGTTTCTAGAATTACCAGGCAGCCACCAGCCCGCGGTCCACCACTTCAGTGTCACTCGAGAACCTC